CAAAAGTGATCGATTCAACCGTTTTAAGCAGGATTATGATAGGATGGGCTCGCACCAGGCTCACCTGTTATGGCTGGCATTTATGTTTGACCATTATGATAGTACAACCCCACATGTCAGCCGTCTCTCTCCTCCATCCACTTCATTTTTCTCTCTTGGACATTTTCTCAAATACCACAAATGAATCTCCCCTATTGCGACTCTCTCTCTCTCTCTCTCTCTCTCTCTCTCTCTCTCTCAAACCCAAAACCCAAAATCCTAAACCCTAAAAACCCTATGGACAATGCCGGTCCCGGCCCCGCCATGGTACTCTCCTGGCCTTGGCCATCCTCGTCACAGCGCGGCGACGGCTGGGGGTCGTCCAAGGGCGACCTGCTGCTGGTGCTCCAGGGGAACCTGAGCGGGCCCGCGGGCGATCGCCCTCCAGCAGAGCTCGATCAGTGGACAGGAAACAGCAGGGTCGACGAGTGGACATGTCCACCCGCTGTCGCTCTAGGCCACGGCCGCGGCCTTCTAGTGCGGCACTGCCTGAGCTCGGAGCTGCCTGCCCTCCTTAGAGTTCATGAGCTGCTCCGCCGAGTGGTTCGCTTGCTTCACAGGAACATGACGCTGCGGTTCAGGTGCCCATCTAGCCACGCGAGGCACTCATGTCGCTCTTCCACCTCGTCGGTGCCAAAGAGGAAAGTCCCTAGCCTGATGCAAAACGCGTGAGGCACTGGGACACCGGAACGGGTGGAAGGCCAAGGATATCAACAGGGGTGTCACCTAGGTCGTGAAAGCTTTTTATGCCACTCAGAGAAATTTAGAGGAAGAAGACGAACTAACATGTGGGCCACACATGTTGATGGTCAAAGTTAACGGACTTGACTTTTATAAACCTGATGGGTGGGCCCCGCCTGTCATAATCGGGTTAAATGCTCGAAACGGTACTTAACTCGAAGTGGTAGTTTTTTTGCGAAAGATTAGTCCAAAAGTGCTAGGTTTTAGCTAAATTTTTAGAGTGGTTGTTTTTATTAGGGTTGGACGGAATGTGGTAGTTATTTGTTAAATACTCCTAAAAGATCTATAAAACCTTATACAATAAGATTTGTAAACCAAACTGGGATTATCTACACATGAGCCGTGTACCGACTTACATTGTTCCTTTCATAGTGCTTATTTGGTGGGTATATGAACTCCCAAAGAGCCTGGACAAACCAAAATCTCCTATTTTGGGAACCAATTTGTCATCCAGCAATACATTATCCGGCTTTAAGTCTAGATGAAAAATCTTCTTTTCTTCTCCTTTATGAAGGTGGTGCAGGCCCTCACAAGTCCCCTTAATTATATTGTATGTCGCCGGCCAATTATGGATGCACGAATCAGCTGTAGAAGGAAAAAAATGTCTTATGTCATACACATAACATGGCAAAATGATACCTTCATTGCAAGGTAGATGGTAGCATAGCAGAATTGAGGTAGAGTACCATCATACCAGAAATATGCTTGGCAAGGCTTCCTCCCTTCATATCACTGTTCAAGCAAACTTCCGATTCACCGATTAATCTTTCGATTTATCGCTAATCGGGGGGTGACTGATAAGATTATGCCTTATCTTTGCCGTTTATCTTTTGGACCGATTTATCATTCTGACAAACGATTTATCAGGAATCTACCGATATATTAGACCTATTCATCACACTATGTTGGCAAAAACTATGTTTATTTATGTTTTGTGGACCTTGTTACGGAATATGTACTATTGCCCTATTTTGTTTGTCATTTTACGAGGAATAAAAGGCTAGAAATCAAGGTAACACTTCTGTAAAATATTGTTTTAGTGTTGAATATAGTGTATTTTAGTGTTGGGAACCTAAGATTTGCAAAAAAAATATCCGATTAATAGTCGACCAATAAAATCGATTAATCGGCCGATTTCCGATTAATCTCTAATCCCTAGCTGACCGACACGATAACGATAAGCGATATCCTCGACATTGCTTCATATACTCAAAGCAGAGAGCTCTGTTTATTACTTGAGACCAAACTAACTCACCTTCATATTCAACATCTCTGTGTAATATCTCATAGCAGTAACCAATCATCCGTATGACATTTTTATGCCGAACCTTTTAAGGTTACGGAATTCATTATCAAATGACTCGTCATTAACTCCTTGGACGGGAAAAAGCTTCTTGACAGCAATTTCGTCCCCATTAAGCTCTCCCTGTTCATATTGACCATATGATAATTACAAAAAACATAATACGATTAGTTAGTATAACAAACATAAATAATTGACCATTCCTACTATGTAAACATCCCCATAGCCACCAGGACCAATTTTCATCTTCTCTGAAAACTCCTCTGTGATTGCTTGTAACAAACAATTTGATATATTGTGGATCGGACGAGGACATTTTATCTGACAAGTATTGCATATTGGATGTTGTTTTTTTTTCCTTTTCTGGAGAATCTATATTAGGAGAATATGTATTTTAAATTTAATTTTCACCAACTACAGTCATGGTCACTCAAATACTAACAACATCCTCATGGATATCCCTAAAAAAAGTATCGCGATGGAAGTACTATTTGGAGTGTTTGCTGGCCCACTAAATAATTGGAATAAAACAATCTTCACCAATTAACTTGTCAGGAAACCCTTCATCATCCGGTTGGATTTACCTACAAGCTTTCGCGTGTAGAACTACCAATCTTTTTGTACTATATAATACATATCTATATCTATATCTATATCTATACCTACTATTAAAGGGAGGTGATATTCTTGGTTTCGCCCCGCTCCGTTTGGTCCCGCTTCAGTTATTTCACCTACGCTATTTTGTTTCGTTACTTGCCACCTGTTTTGGGCCAACGAAGGAAGCCCATCTGGCGGTGCACTATGGCTCAGGTCCAGAGAGTTGGCAAAAAATAAAATTGCCGATGGGAGGGTTTGATCTCATAACCTGCCAACCGACCACACACAGCTTGTCCAACTGACCCAACTAGAGATATGAGATAAAAAAAATTCTCCCGTTGCAATGCACGGGCCTTTTTGCTAGTGCAGAAAAAAGGTAACAATAAAAATATTACTTGAAGAACTAGGTAAACTATTTCTAAACGGGCAAATACTTTCATCATGAAATCCCTGGCAGACTAGAAGTAGAGGAAACTACTTCCTCTGTCCGGAATTAGTCGTTGCTCAAATGGATGTATGTAGCACTAAAATAGAGTGCTAGGTACCATCTGTTTGAGCGGCTAATAATTCCGGAAGCAGCGACTAGGAAGCAAATTAAAAACAGCCACAGCTGAACTTACCCGGAGGAAGAGGAAGAGAGAATCTGCAAATGAACCCCTTGCCGTTGGTGGCCAACTTCTTCCGGGGAATTGATGGGTGGCGCCGCCGATGCCAGCCTCCGCGCTGCGGCCCGTCAGCACCACCACCTGCCTCGGTGTCGGCTGCTCCGTCCCGGTCCCGGCCGGCCTTAGCAGCAGCGGCAAGGCGTAGCAAGTTGATTAAGCAGTTTTGGGGATGTGACTGCTGCCACCGCTACTCTCTAGTGAAGAAGGAATGCGTCTTCTGACTTCCAGCTTAACAGTAAAATCATTAGTAATTACAGGAGAGCCTAGTTGGCCTTGATGACAAGAAAGATTCCAATCCAAGTCTGTCGACATTGGCATCGATCGTGGCCCGTTGCAACTTGCACATAATTTAAACATCGGGCCACTTGCTATGTCGGCCCGAAACCTTTCAACGCCGCCGAGGGCAGCTGATCAGCCTTATCTACCCCTCAAAAAAAAAAAGCTGATCAGCCTTATCTTTGAATAGGAACTTGATCAGCCCTGTCTTTGGTTCGGAGTGACTCGGTCCAATCATTTCAATATGTTTTTTAATTTGACGCTGCTACAGGGACCAAAAGCCGGCCTGAACGATTTTCATTTTCATAAATAAATTAAGATGCATGCAACACAACGGCTACAACGTTTAGCACCATAAACAAGATTGAGATACATCACAGGGACTACAACAGATAGCATCTGACGCTCATGAGAATGAACATGGAACAACAGAAGCAGATCCAGAAACGAGTTACACAAGCAGCCAACGTTAAAACTTAGGCCTCCTTTGGTTCAAAGGATGAGAATTTTATAGGAATAGGAAAAGTATAGGAAATGAGGTGTATGCATTTCCAATCCTATGGCTGCTCAGATCATAGGAATAGGAAATTAAATGCCCTTTGGTTCACAGGATAGGAACACACATAGGAAACATAAAGAAATAATATTTTAATTTAAAGCAACTAGCCGTTAGTTGCTCTCAAGCAACTAGCCGTTACATGGCTGTACTAGCTTTCTCTCCCTATATATCATCTTGTTGTGGAGATCAAAACACACACATCTCATCTTCAGAATACACACAAATCTCATCTTCAGTTTATGGTTAGCTAACCAAAGAAGGAACCCCTCCAGCAGCTTCTAGCATGGTCGTCAACAACAACCAGGATAACATAAACAACAGGTTAGTACATATGCATTGACAATATGATTTAGCTCCATATTTTCTTTGCTGATCCACATCTCACTGATAGAACATACAAATATTTTCAGCATTTCTTGCTGATTTACACACATTTCAATGGATCCAAGCTATCACAGGAGGTCACAGATGGAGGATGAATTCATGTTATTTGTCTTCCCTACCATGGAAGAAGGAAGGGAGAAAAAACCAATGCATACATCTAGTCTTACAGGAGCTGCTTATGTCCAGGAAATCTTAAATGGGCATGAAAGCTTATGCAGAAGGCATTTCAGAATGGAGGCTTACATCTTTCATGCTCTAGTTGAGAAGCTGCGTGAGAATGAAATACTTGAAGATTCTACAATAGTCTCCTTGGAAGAAAAGGTTGCCATATTTTTATATGTAGTTGCAAAAAATGCTAGTAATGAAACCTTGCAGGATAGGTTCCAGCACAGTGGGCAAACCATCAGTCGACACTTTGGAGATGTACTAGAGGCAATTACAAAGCTTGCAAGCATCTATATACGCCCACCTTCTCTTCGACCACATCCAGTCTTGAGGAGATCACATTTCCATCCCTACTTCAATGTAAGCATACATTTTCATATATTTCTGACTTTGTATTGGTAAATGTAATATGGTTGTTTGAAGTTTTATTCAAAATAATATCTCATGATATAATATGAATACAGGATTGCATTGGTGCTATTGATGGTACACATATTCCAATGACTATCTCACCACATGAACAAGAGCCATATCGAAACAGAAAGCAAACAATCACACAAAATGTTATGGTTGCATGTGACTTTGATTTGAGGTTTGTGCATGTGCATCCTGGCTGGGAAGGATCAGCCTCGGATGCAAGGGTTCTCCAAGATGCACTTAACCATGGATTTCAGGTACCTCATGGTAAATATTATCTTGTAGATGCGGGCTATGCAAACACACCACAGTTTCTTGCCCCATACCGTGGAACTAGATACCATTTGCAAGAACAAGCACAAGTACATCAAAGGCCGCGGAATCGTAGAGAACTATTCAACCTTCGCCATGCACAATTACGGAATCATATAGAGAGAATTATTGGCATAGTGAAAAAGAGATTTCCAGTTCTGAAAGTTGCTACACACTATTCCCCCGGCAAACAAGTTGACATATCAATGGCATGTTGTGTCCTACATAATTTCATTCGGCTTCATGATGGAGATGTCTCATGGCTCAACAATGACACTCCAGATATTGACCCACATCTAATTGTGGACGTGCCCACGGGAGATGAAAACTACACTAGTGATGTTGGAGCATTCAATAACACAAGAGAAGCAGGAAACCACCTACGGGATTATATAGCAGATAAACTGTGGGAGGACTATATTGCAAGAAGAGCTTGATATATGCATTGTAACGTGTACCGCAAACAAATGTATGGCAAAAAAATGTACTGCAAACCAAGATTATGGCATGTCGAAATTGTAATATTCATTAAAGCAAAGTACTAGATGCCATGTTCGTTTTCTGCAACTACTACATGCTTGCTCTTTCATTTTCTGCAGCAAGTAGTTCTACCAAAATATTACCCAGCCACGTACTTCTACTCCCTAGTTCAGCTTTCTACTTCAAGTAATTCTACCAAAATACAACCTAGCTAGCCACACACTTTGTTTGCGTCCAACAAAAGACTCCACACATCTTAAGTGCTATGCCAAAATACTACCTAGCAGCCTGCAAGTAATATGTTTAGATATGCCCAATCTGCCTTTTGAGCCAGGCTAACCTTGGTTCATCCGTAGAAAACGATAGGAAAAGCTCTCTATTCTCCTTGCTTTTGAAGATATCAGCAGCCATCACCATATCAGCCATTTGTAGACCAGGTAGACGTTCAAGTGTTGTGACACACCTACTGATGCTATAGGGATCCTCAAGCTTCTTCTCCTCAATAGCTGCAAACCGTTCAATTTCTTCTTTCTTGAGCTTCAAGTACTTCTCTTGAAAATCACTATTTTTCTGCCTCTTTGTGGGTCTTGCTCCACACATTTCCGGTGTTTTCACAAACTGAGAATTCATTTGTGTGGAGCGCCTTGATGGGCATTGCTGCTGGGGAAAATCAGAAGTGTCTTTCTCACCTTCTTCTTCAATGGGAAAATCAGCAGCATTTATATTAGGTGAGGGTGATCCATCATAATCATTGGTCCCTTGTGATTCTGCAAATTTGGTTTGTGATGGTTCTTTATCCCTATCTGCATAATAGTCCATGCCACGCCTATTCCTTCCTTCAGCATACCGTCCTGGAGATAATTAAAAACTAGTGAGAACATGCTTACAACACAGAAAGTGTTTGTCTCTCCATACAATGTTATAGCTTACCTTCATACAATGCAAATAAATCATCATAATATGGAAAGTGCTTGTCTCTCCATATGAGTGCATCCGTGTTACGACGCTCCGCAAATGATTCCCAAACGGCATCTGGGGCAACAACTTTCATTCCGATACGGTCCCAACCAAAGCCACTCTCAGCTGCCAACTCTTTCACAGTGCGGAAGTCTTTCTTCAGATCCTGTTCCTTTTGTTTCACTTTTTTAACATCTAGTGACAAGCCAAACTTTTTGTTTATGTTATCCACAATCTTATTCCATGCCTCTTTACTCCATGCATTCTGAGTTCTATAACCTGGGACATTAAAATCTTTCAGCTGTTGAATAAGATATAGCTTCATTTGGTGACTCCACTTGGCTCTAGGAAGACTCTTCTTGGACTTTGAAACTGCAAAGCAAAGAGCTATATTACATAATATGCAATTGTGCTTCCATGATTAAATTTCAGTAATTCACCACATTAACAAGATTGAGATTAAGAGATTTTGTACCACTATCCTCATGCTGCCTTGCACTCCTTTGGTCAAAGTCGAGGTCATCACAACGCTGCAGCGTACCAAAATTAGGACGGCGTCCTATGATCCTTTGACTGAACTCCAAGTCATCAAGTCCTGAAATACACAAAATATTATGCTATTGTGCTTCCGTATTAATTTCACCAAATTAACTTAACCAAGAATAAGAGAATCAATACCATTGTCCTGACCAATATTTGTTTGGTGTCCTGTAGCTCCTTGAGTAAACTCCAGGTCATCAAGTCCTTGAATATATTGAACATTATGCAATTGTGTTTCCATGATTAAATTTTACCATATTAAATTGAATAAGAATAAGAGAAATTGTACCATTGTCCTAATGGTGACCAATATTTGGACAAGGTATTGTAGTCCTTTGACTGAACTCATGGCCTTGAATACCAAAGTCTATCATCCTGCCTTGATCATCCATCTGAAGAAACTGAATCGTATTATTAGTGGGACTAGTGAGATAGTAAAATATGTACTGTTATGTAATAAAAGAAATTACGTTTTAATAAGACATATAATGGGACTAGTGAGAGCTGAGAGATGAGTCAAGCCACAATCAATTATATTGCCTGGTCAGAGTTACAAGAGTACAAGTAGGGAACACAAGAACTGCTCCCGTGATGGACGGCACCAGCTATACATCTGTGCTATTAGATTAGGACTCTAAAAGCTAGCAAACTGAGCAATTAGATTAGGACTGTGCGTCTAATTTTTGTTGGGCCCTTTCCTAAAAAATCTTGGGATTCGGCTGGACTAGAGACTCATGATACGGGGGATTTCTAGGGGCATCTCACACCGGCAAGATGGACAGGGCTATTTCTCCATTAATTAGCACCAGATCTGAAAATCAATAGAGAGGGAAAGATAGAATCGTACCTGAAGAGACTTGCGGCAGATGGATGCCGCTGGGGCTTGGTGGCTAGCTGGTCGACGGTAGATGCTCCAGCTTGCCGGTGGTTCCTGCCCGCCGCCTGGATGTGGTCGCGTCGCGCGGCCGTCTGCCGCCGTCCTCCCTGCCGGTCGATCTTCAAGGTTGGAGCTGCGCCGCTCTGTGTGAGGAGAGGAGGGGCGGCTGGACATGTCGATTTTGCTTCTTTTCCCCTCCCTCTCTCTATTTGTGCGCATGTGAGTGAAGCGGCCGAGCGAAAAAAAGGGAGGGAACAGTTGCCGCCGCGCGCGTCGTTCGCGCCAGGAAGTTTTCCATTAGGTTGGACCTCTTTTTTCTGTTCCTGCAAAACGTGAAGGAAAGGAAGAAATCCTGTACATGAATAGGATGGCATTCCTGTGAACCAAAGGCCTCCAAAGGATTATTTCCTACAAATATCCTATCCTACAAAATTCCTATAAAAATCCTATAAACCAAAGGAGGCCTTAGCGTCACCATCATCGCTGCCAACAAAATCGGCAGTAGGCCTCGGCCGAAGCCGCGCATCCCGGACCTCGATACCGCAATGTTGGACGTCATGTCCAGCAAGCACATGAGTGCGAGGCCTCACCTCCCCCTGCAAGACTAGGGTAAGCATGCTCACCGGGTCCAAAATAAGCCCCCAACAGACATCGTCACTCACCTTGAGCTCCGAACCGCTGACACGACACAAGAGGGCATCAGCAGGAGCACCCCTCCCCGCAACTGCTAACAAGAACAGAGAACCAACCACTGCCGCCGACCACATCTCCCTCTCACCATCACCCCACTGACATGTAACCTCCGCCACCAAACCATTGTCGCAACCGTCGTTTGAACACCTCCCTCCGAGACGCTAGATACGGCCGTGGATGGCATTGGCGCAACCACTCGAAAGGGAGGGTGCATCACCCCCGAGAAAGTTGTCGCCGCGCTCCATCCCCCGTTGCCACCTCACGCCAGCTGGTGAGTTGCCTCGCTACCTTCCAACTAAAGCAAAGGATGTTTCAACCATTTTGACCAAAAAAAGGGGGAGAGGAGCAGATCGAGAAGCCGTTGCTGCAGGAGATGGGCTTGTCCCCGTTCCTAATCGGTGGCTATGCCCATTTAAACACATCCTTGTCATGTATAAATGGGACAGGATTTGAATGGGTTTCTAATCCGTGGAAGCTGCTCCGGTCACTGAAATCCACTCAATACATCGTAACTATTCTCTAAACTAATTTTGGTTACACGAGTATTATTTTCTCTTTTTGCGATTGTGATTTTGTAATAAATGATGTGCTGATGTCTTTGTTCTAGAGGTGCGTGGATCATCTAAAAAATTCAAAATCATTTTTATTTTAATTTAGCATGAAATTCAATACAATCGACCTATGTGTAATCAATTTTTGTGTGTGCTTATAATACAATTTTTTTCTTCTGCAGAAACAAGCACAATTTTTTTCTAGTTTCTGTTTTATGTAAACAATATTCAAACTGTGAGACCATATGAAATTCACTTGGGTTCTGCTTGTACACCGAAGGAAAATTTCCAGACAATGTATACAAACCTCCGAGTTTTTCTGAAACTATTGTTATTATTATAATAACAAATTCGAATAATATATGACCTAATTTGTAAATTTCAAAAAATATGACCCCGTCGGTCTTGCTTAGGCCGAAGATACAGTTTTCGGTTTCTGTAGGCTGAAGAGGCTTTTTCGGTTTTCTTCGGCACGAAGACCAGGCAGGCTAGGCCGAAGAGCCATTCTTCGGCCTTCACGCGACTGAAGAGGACTCTTCATCCTTCACGCGCCCGAAGAGGTCGGGGATAAGCACAGTCGCAAGAGATAGTACTCCTTTATGTACTATACCTAGTAATAAAGTAATCCAGCAACATTAATCACGCATGAGAGTTCTCGCCCAACCAAAAACAAAACTCAAACTCAAGTACCTAAACAAACTAGCTAATGATAGTAATACTCCTTTATCTTGTTCAAAAAAAGAAATAGTACTCCTTTATGTACTATAAAACTCTTTAATTATAAGGAAACTAATTTAATTACTCCGGCTGTTGGGCCAGAGTGTGGCGTGGGTGACACACGCCGTAGCAAGGCAGTGACAGCGGCGTCGCGGGTGCGCGTCGGACGACGTGGGGCAGAGCATGCTCGGAGATCAGTGGCGGACAGATTGACCCATGGGTGGCACGAGCAACAATCAGCCGGCTAGGTCGTAGTTGTGGAGGCTGCTCCTCACGACGACGGCATATCTCCCTGTCCGGCGTGGCCTTCTGACAATGGCCTCAGGCGACGGAGCGGGTGACGGCCTTCTCGTCCCAGTAATGGGTGGTCAAGCACGACTGACCATAGGGCGCCACGCGAGGTATTCGAGACCTACTTCCCCGATCTGGCGGTTGCGACAGTGGTTGCCGTTATATGGGCGAAGAAAACGGCTGGCGCGGCGATGGGTGCTTCCTGTAGCACCCGTGATCGGGACGGCGGCCCCTATTCTTTGACGGCGACGAACTTCATGGTCATGCGGCAAAGCTGGTTGTTCGGTTGTTGGATTTTGTATTTCTTACTAATATATGGTTGTATGCATTATCCTAATGCAGAGGCCGGGCCTATCCTCCTTTTTTTTAAAAACATGGTGGCACTTTCATGTAAATAGAACCAATGTAGAACGTATATGCAGTTTGTGTAGCATTTACAGTGTGTAGTTGCATTTACAGATGTCTTTAAAGCCTCTCTCTTAAGTGATCAATGTTGCCGGAATATTTTCTTAGGTATAGTGCTAATTATGTTGGAGAGAGAGAGGACTTTTAACACACGCAGGATTGTACCCTTGTCACCAACCTCTTCGGGCGCGTACAGAACGAAGAGTCCTCTTCGGGCGCGTGAAGGCCGAAGAGTGGCTCTCCCTCTTCGGCCTACAAGAGGCCGACGGGTCATATTTTTGAAATTTATGAATTAGGTCATATATAATTGGAATATTTTATAAAAATAAGAATATTTTGAAAAAAAATCCCAAACCTCCTAGGCTCTTATATAGAATGGCGGCTTCTGAAATTAGTTTGCCTAAAAAAAGCTTGTGAAATTAATCTAGCTTTATGGCACGCAGTCGAGCACGGCGGGAGCTCCTTTTTTTTTTAGGGGTATGGCCGGACCTTGTATTGGGTGACGCACAGGGCGCTTCGTGTTGGGCCGGCCATCCAGTAGTGGAGCAATTCGCGGTTACTGTAGCAATTGATAGTTGTAGTGTAGTGCCCCGTTGTAGGTTTTTTTTTCAGTTTCAATCATTTTCCTAAAAAAGAAATATTTCTTCAAGCATGCAATTTTTTTTTGACATTCTAGACATTTTTTGTAGAACAGGAACTTTTTAGGATTTTTTAGAAAACATAAACAAAATTTTAAATATGACTTTTTAAAATTACAAATAACTTTGTAAGAACTTATTTTTTTATCCTGATAATTTTATGAATTTCCTAATAAATTTTGGGAAATTGAACTTTTTGAAGTTGTTATTTTTTAAAATGAGAACATTTTTTAAATTCCTGAACAAAATTTTAAAATGTGATACTGAAGCTCTATTTTTTTGAATCTATGATTTTTTTAAAGAATATGCATACAGTTTTTTTAGTTCGAAACAAAAGTTAAAAATTAGAAACTTCTTTAAAGTTTTGAACAAATTTAAGAAATGAGATTTTTTGAAATATCTGAACATTTTGAAAAGAAAAAGGAACTTGAAAATGAAAAATAATATTAAAAAAGTAAAATATAATAAACAAAATGAGACGTCCCAACCGTGGCGCTTCTGCACGAACCTGGCGATGAGCCGCACATATGATTTCCATAGCACGAGGGCCAGAGGCTTTGATCAGCCGTCTTGCATGGGCCAGTGAATAAACGATATTTGATGGCCCGTCTGG